TAATCTGAATTATACTTATCTCTGGATTATAAATATATCTGGATTATACTTATAATTATTGATTATTATTGTTGATTAATTTGATTTCATTGCTACTAACACCAGCTGTCTATCTATATGTGGAGCATCATTCAGTGAGAAAACTATTTTTGGTATGGTTCAACTGTCATGACACTTGCTCTACAGTCTGTCTACCCTAGGAACACCTTCCAAGAGAATGCCTACAACTGTTGCTGCAGAAACAAGTGCTAGGCTATTTCTTTATTAGGGTGTCTTGAAAATGCATTTATGCTTGCTATGTGAGTAAAACATTCATTATAAAATGGTTTCATCTTTACAGCAAACGACATTCACCATGACAAAATAACAAAACTTTTACTTGACTGCCTGATATTGACATGTTCAAGGTCTTTCACTATAGTAACTGCTTCCAGTTAGACATACTGGAAGCTTGCTGAAGAATATCTTGCTTTGCATTTCACTGACATTATTACCTCTCTGAGAATAATAAAGTATTACTGTGCTAGGAATGTCATTTATTTTAAATCCTTAACATGAAAATAGCTAAAAACAAAGGGCTCTTTTAAAGTTTAATACGGCTTATCAATAGGCAGGACCCAGATAGAATAGTAAAACATTTTATAGGACATTAGATAAACTAGCATTAGAGTAACAATAAGAACATTATATTATATTTATTTAAAAAGCGAAAAATATGTAATGAAATTCAACAAAAATATTTAATGTTTTTAATTAAATATATCATGAATTAAATTCATTTTTATTTAAATCATTCAAATTAAAAAGTAAAAAATAATTACTAAGACCTGCATCTATTCCTTTTAAATAGTTTATTTTGTTAATTAATAGAAGACAGATTAAATATGAAAAGATAATATCTTTTATTTTTCCAAATGGCAACAGACTCGAATAAAAAGTGAAACAATATAAAATCATGTTTCCAGACTAAAAGCCATTTTGGGCTAAAAATACCCTACTGCAACAAATTCTTCTTAAACACATACTAGTATAATACTACTGCTGTCATAATATAATTTAATAAAACTGTTTCAATTAAAAGAACTAAACATTACTACAGCAATTTTATGTGGGGGAGGAAGAATTAATTTTGCAACCAACACAACAATTAATCTGCATTTCACCCAGCATGTATCTATATAAAATATATACTGGGAAAGTACTTATGCATTTGAGTTTCATTACATCATGTTCTTCTTGTTAACTACTTATCATAGAAGAAGAGCAAGTATTTATTATCTCTCAGCATTCTATAAAATTTTTGCTCCTAGAAGAATACTCAAACTTGGCCACAAAAAATATCTTTGAATCAGTAGAGATAATACACAAAGGTGGAGAAGTACATAAGATTTGAAGGACTAGTTAAAGAATTCCATTCTAGAATTTCCATGCCTTTGTTTATTTCTCATTTCAGATTAGAAAAAAAATCACAGATATTTTTATTGACAGCCTTATATAATTATCTTGGTCTTTTACAACTTACTAGAACACAATGTAGCAAAATGAATCTGCCATAGCTGTTCCATATGAATACGATTAGTATAGCATATCGATTTGGTATGTTTCGCTGCATAAATCAGAAGTATTACACGGTTAACTTAAAAATAAGAAGACAACTGTTATTATTATCAAAATAATTGGTGTCTTACTATCAATATTTTTTTTTCCAAATTTTGTGAACAGCAGCTATCAGAAGTTTTTCATGCTTTCAACCTAAATATTTAAAATTTTATTTAAATATTTAGGTTGAATTAGTAGTTTTCGTAAAAATAAATGGGAGTACAAAAAATGAATAACTGCAAAAAAATAAAATTATTTTAATTGGCAGTTTTCTCAGTATTTCATACTGGCAAATAATTTACTAGAGCAGAGCACATGAAGAATCTCTACTGATAGCTCTACCTTCATGGAGGATTTTCAAATGAAAACTGCTGCATAACATATCTATGTGCACATTTCTGTAACTAGCATTCCTGCAAATGCTAAGTGTAAGATTTGCTTAATCAGAGAAAGGGGTTGTTGGAAATTTTAAAAACACTAATTCATGCCAGAAGCAGGATATATATATTTCTTAGTATATATAATAATATGTAGCAGTGTTTTTGTACATAATGCATAGCAAAACTAAATGCAGACAAATGCAGATCATATATTTCTGCTACACATCAAAATGTATAAAGTTTAATTGGCATATTATGCATAATAAGACACTACCAACATTCAATATTAAACTATCATAATGTGTATAAAGTACAGCAGTATATATTTTTCTCTCTCCTAAGCATGAAAGCAACGGATCTTGACACTTGAACCAATCTGCAAGAGATGACAAAGAAATAAATAAAAAAAAGTATTGTTGCTATATCATGCTCATTTTCAAGGAATGACAAAATAATAAAAATTATGCTTTTCACACAAAACCTTGTATAAGCATTAACACGTTGACTGCCCAACACGAAATAACTCGTATTAGCGCTCTTCTTCAGGACGCCCAATACGAGTTATCTTGTAATTTCTTGACTTGCCACTTTTGTGCCGCTATGAGTTACTTACTCACTTAGTGCTTGTTTTAGCTGCACGGAGGCGACAAGTTAAAGCATGTCTGTACGAATCAACTGATAGTGGGCTTCTCCGATGAGCTTTGTCTAACAAAAGCCGACTACAAGATAATTCGTAAGACCCTTTTTTCTACAAAAAAAAAAATCCTGTAACTTTTTAATGATTGTTACGAATCATAATTAGTATTTTTAATAATATAATTTGATTAAATTGATTTGACTTCTTGGACTGGAATCTGAAAAGTGGTGTGGCAGTCAATGTGTTAAAACACTGGTTTAAAATGTATGTGTATAAGCAAGCTGATGTCAGGGATTACTATGGGAAAACAAACTGATGAATAAATAGATGTTGCTATTTTATTTATTATTATTTATAGCCCATTTTGTTTGGTACAAATTTTATAACTTATGCGATATTTAGTCCTTAAACAAAAAAACAAAAAAAAAAAATTATAAGATATAAGAGAACAATTAGTTCCCATCAGATCTTTTAAACACCCCTATTTCATAAACTTTCATATGTTCCATGACAAATAATATTTATTCTTTAATAGAATTACATAGTTGTAGATAATATACAATATACTGAACAAATAACTGAGGACACTTGGATTAATTTAGAAACTAAAATTGAGTAAAGGAAAAGACACACTATCTGAAAATTCATTCGTCAGAAAATTTAATATTTCATTCTTCCTGTTATAATAAAATATTCAAAAGATGCGTATTAACCTAAATTTATGTTAACCTTTATTTCACCTTGATTTTAGAGGCAGAAGCTACAATTCAAGCCAAAAATTCAATACAAAAAGACGCAATCTCTCTTCTTCAAGATAACTTGATTCTGAACAGGAAAGATGCATTTGTTCATTGCTCAAAATGTATTCAGTCCTCTTTGTTTAAAATTAAGACCAAACAGATTGAATTCTTTGAAAAGTTTTACAGTTTTAAGACTGTAAGCACAAAAAAATATCCTTACATTTGAAATGCTATCAGGAGTATAAATAAGTCTCCATTCTTAACAAAATTTGGGCATTTATTGTGAAAGAACAGTACTTTATGTTTTATTTAAAGTGTTTTCTGTTGTTAGCCACTACTATTTCCCCATCTTTCTGGCAGCATATGGATACCGTCTAGGAAGAACACTTCATCTTTCCAGGCTATCCACAAAGCAACCTAACTTTTGGTATCTTCACATAATGTGAAGCACCGCTCAGACAAGCCATGCATCATCAAACCAAACAAGTTACATTCAGAAGGAGCAATGTCTGTTAAATACAAAGGGAGAGGGGGGAACTTCTCATTTGAGTGCTTCCAAGTAGGTTTTGACTGCTACTACAACATGTGGATGAGCATTATCATGCAGGAAAATAATTTTGTCATGTTTGGAGTATTAGTGGGCACATATTTCTTCCAGTGCTCCACTCAGTCTCATCAATTATGTTTGGTAGAGATCCCCAGTAATAGTTTCATTTGGTTTGAGCAACTCATAATACATGACACCAAGATGATGCTACTTTATATACAACATGACTTTTTCCCATGAATACTTGATTTGGCAGTCGATGTTGAAGCATGGCCAGGTGGTGCCATTGGTTTCGTCTTTTTGGGGAGGGTATTGTAGCGAATCCATTTTTCACCTGCAGTGACAATACAATTTAAAAAGCCCTTTCATTTATGCCTGACAAGCAGCATTTCATGTGTAAAATGATGGTATTCAATGTTTCCCACCTTCAGTTCATGTGGTACCTAATTTCCTTGCTTTTGAAATGGTTCCAATGATTTTAAACGATTTGAAACTGCTTGTTGAGTTATTCCTAATGTAAATGCAAATTATACTTGTATTTGGAACGAATTTTCATCCAATAATGCTTCTAATTTTGAGTCTTTGTACACTTTCATCCTTCTGTTTCATTCTTCTCTTTTATGTCAAATTCACTGTTCTTAAACTTTCGAAACCACTCACAGCGATTTTCACTTAAGACAGCCTCACCATATGCTTCTACAAGCAACTGATGAGCCTCAACTGCAGAATTCTTCAAATAAAAAAAGTAAATAAAATAAATCCAGCAAATGACGATCATTCAGCTCAAAACTCAAGATTTTCACATGGGAAAAAATATATGCTGATACAAAACCGCTAATATTTCAAGGTTATGTAGTTAGGAGATGTCCAACCTTATGATATGACGTTTTACATCAGACAATTTTAACTATAACGTACTGGTGACACCTTTTATTTTATTTATTTTTTTTTATTATTATTTTTTATTTATTTATTTATTTATTTATTTTTTCAAACAGTGGAGAAAAAAATGTAGCTGCATGTTACTAAATGAATAAAGTGATTAAAAACGATTATTTTCCCCTAAACAAGGCCTGAATACAAATAATAACACTCAGTTAATAAAAAAACAATCCTTTATTAGCTAAGACTCTTGTAAAACAGAGATGAGTATCACAGATCCATCTATATAATTGTCATATTTTTATGCATATTTTAATATCACAGATGACTTGCAAACATAACTGATATTTAATATATGACACTCAAGAAAAAGGAACAATTTTGATCCCATTTTGTACTTAAAAAAACAAATGGTAACTTCAGACCACCTATATGAAACTTAAAAATGCTTCAGCACAATATAATTTTAAGAGAGATGCAAGATTATTTTGATGTTAGAAAAATTTGACAACTATAAAACTAAAATAAAAGGCTTCTTCATCAGCCAAACCAATGATTTCCCATACAGTCTCGTGTCCATTCTTCTTGACATATCCAACACCAATGATATCCACACTGTGATCGAGTACAAACCATATGCATACATCCACCTACAGAAATGAAATGGAAATTTCATAACACTCTGAATGAAAGAATACAAATGTTCCATATGACTCGACAAACTAAATTACAAGGAGTGAAAAATATAGTTCTGTCTAGTAAATAACTTCTAAATATTTCGATGCAAAATTAATTATTTAAGAGATATAGAAAGATTTTAAATAATTTTATCTAATTTGAATTATGATAATTTATGTTTTTATATAATAATTACAAATTAATATATTTCTACATGAAAGATCTTGTGTTAACATACAATATGAATTCATTACTATCTATAAAAATTATATTCCCCAAGTGAAAATTTAGGTAGTTTTTTATTATCTGCACCCTCCTGAAAAGTATTCAAGAAGCAACGTGCTATGTTACCAAATGTAAACATAGTCGACCCTTTAATGTTGCCGAAATGCATTTATCTGGCAACCTAGGTACATGCACATATGCAGCAAATGAGATTGGATTTTTGCCTTCAAATTAGATGGGCCATTTTGTCCAAAAGTAGAGAATGTAAAAATTCATATTCTGTGTAGTTGTACTTCATAAATAAATGTGCTGATGCTATAGGCTGTGCAATTTTCTGACTTTTTTTTAAAAGAAAAAAAAAAAAAAAAAAGATGACTGCATACATGAAAAACAACAGCATGTGCAATGTCAAATTTATGTAATTCTCTGATGTTAAATGAAAACAGATCAATGTATACCAAGGTTTCTAAAATATCCTAAAAGTTTGTGCATTCGAGCAGCTCAGCAGTCATTGGCTGCCTGTTTGTGACGTAGCTCGTAGACCCGTCGTACTCTTGTTTATGTCGTGTTTACGATATATGCCAGCATCCTATTGATATTTTGGAATGTAGAATGCTTTATGAAACATTATTTTTTAATTATGTTACATGCTATTAAAACAAAACAACATTTTATTGTGTTTATACTTTCAAGTTGGGAAAAATATATGAAATAATCATTGTTCACGCAGTTGAATTAAACTAAACTGGCAAGTCATTCAATATACTATTTTTTATGAATGTATTTCAGCTACTGTGTAAAACAGTGTGTTTAAGTATGTTTATAATTTATTGAGCTATGTTTCAGTTTTCGCCACATCACATAAACTGTAACAAATTAGTAATGAAATTTATAATGTTGCATATTTTAGTTTTGTAATTATTTGGAAGTGGTTTTTTTTTTTTTTTTTTTTTTTTTTTTTTAAATTTATTTTCCAGAAAATTTCACCTTTCATCATAATTTTGGGTGAAATTTGTCGAATCCGGAGATGTTTGATTAGAATATTTTCTTTGTATACACTAAGTTATAATTTTCTGTAAAATATGATTATATAAAAGTAACAGGAATACCTTTGTTTTTAGTATATTAAGGAACTTGAGAAAATTTTTGCTTCTTTTCAAATGTAGATTAGTTTATACTTGCCTTCAGTTCAAAACATATTCTTGTTTGTCTGATTAACTACACATAAATCAAGTATAATTTTCTTAAAAATTCCATTTCTCCAGGTGTCTTAAGGGAAATAAATACAATGTGAATGTGAATGTAAATTGTAAATTTAAATTCAGTATGTTTATTTCCTTTATGGAAATCAGAATTTTTATCCATAATTTGAAAGACAAAGCCTTACCTTTACAAGCAAAAGCATTTTTGATGGTTGATCAACCATTACCCTAAGATGGCCATTTCTAAAATTGATAAGTTTTTCTGAGAATATAAGTATTGATACAGAGCATCACTTCTTTAAAATGACCATCTTCATATAAGAATCAATTAATCTGTAATTACAGGCTGTCACCTTAGAAGTTATTCACTATGAATATGCTTGACTGAAACACTATTTGATAAACTTCATGATTTATTTTGTAATGTGTGAGAAATATTTTAAGTGATGTTGAAATTGTGCATACTTAGACTAATAAGACTAATTTTACTAAACAGAATTTTTTTTTATTTAATTACATGTTAGTGGACAAATGAATGGAACAAATATGTGCAGCATTTGGATTCCATTTCGCAGCTCGCCTACAGCGTTGAATCCAAATACTTCTTACTTCTTGATTTGAGAGAAATTTATGATGTGTTATATCCTTAGTATCTGGATTACGTTTTGTTTTTATGTAAATGTTATTGCACACAGCTACAGTACATCGTGTTCCAAGCATTTTTAATCACACATTTAAACCAACACCGCGCAAATACAGCAGAACAGCGTCGGCGGGAAGGAATTTGGGTCTACGAGTGACGTGTTAGTGACGTCATAGAGCATGTGCAGTAGCTATCGCTTTAAAAATGCGCCAACCTTATAAGAAAGTATTTTACTGATCTTGATGTATACATAGGAAAACAATAGTGTATATAATGACTAGTTTCTGCTATTCTCAGATGTTTTTTGGAACTAGAACAGATTACTGTGTACATGGAGAAAACAGAGCATAATAATAATAATAAGTGCTTTATTATAGATGCTTCTTGCATTTTAAATTTTGTTAACTGGTCGCAGTTTTATGTAATTCTTATTGATGTCTTCTGTGATTTGGTTTCGTAAAAAATTAATCTCCAATAATTGGTAGCTTTTCGGGAGGGAATGGAGATAATTAGAAAGTACCAAAATTTATTTATTTTATCCTTCCATATGCAAGAAATGAAGAAATTAATACAACATCATTGCATTTTGATAATATTTCCCCAATTATATCACAGTTTTATGAATCAGATTACATTTTACATACATACAGAGAAAGATATAAATGCACATTTGTTACACATGTTTATGTAACAAAGATTATATATACAGTCAAATGTCTTTAATCTGGACGTCCATAATCCGAAATGATCTATAATCCGGACCTCAAAGCTACAAATTTTCTGCGCATGCGTCAACGCATAATGCGTTATCGCATGTGCATAATACCTTGACGCATGCGCATAATACGCTTACATATGTGTGTTTAATGTATAACGGACGGTATAAGCTAAGCTAAAATTATCTAATTATCTATTTCAGTTAATGTTGCACATTGCATTGTTCCTTAATCTTCTAATTGGATCTGGCTTATTATTTTTTGTAGACTGTTAGAGCAATTTTATAAAAGTAAGCTTGAACTTTCGATTATGTCAAAAAGAATTTCCAATTCTGGAGCTACCAAAGGATCTACAAAGCGAAAGTATGTTTCAATGTCCATCAAACAAAAAGTGGAATTGCTGCAAAAAATGGATAAAGGCATATCCTTTCGGCGAGCAATGAACTGGAAGTTGATCTGTCAGCACTATCGTTATCTTCAGGGCAGATGTTTTTATTTTATTCGGCTTATAATTCCTTACTAAATGTTGTATTTCATCTTGATGTACTCCATCTTTGATATGATTTAAATCAAATTCCTCATCATTATAAATATCACGAATACACATCAAATAGTTTTCTGGTTGCAATTTTCTAATTTCGACTATGCGTAATGTATGCTTTACGCATGCGCTTTGAAAGAAATGTTTAATAAAGTAAACAAATAAATATAAAGCTTTTTTTTTTTTTTTTTTTTTTTTTTGGTAAATTTTGATACCCTTTAGATCATAATTGCTCTTTATTTCATAAATTACGGTTTCATATTTTTAATTTTGTAATTTCTGCATGTCATCTTACCAGATTTAACTGATGATCTATAATCCGGAAAAACTGATAGTCCGGAATCGTCGAAGTCCCGACCAGTCCGGATTAAACACTTTTGACTGTATATCTCTTCATTTTATGGGAAAATACATGAAAAAAAGTACATTCAAAATACTCCATCATCATGCAGTTTTTATTTAACCTTTCAATGGTGATCAACAGGCTCAGCTTGCATTCCAGTTACACACCACAGTGGGCACAAATGAACACCGCTCATATTACAAATTGACGACTGACAGATATAACACATATTTAGGAAGAAAGAATTGCTTAATCTTGCAATCACTGAAGGTTTAAAATACTACAAAAAGAATGAAATCTGACAGAAGTGATTTTTATGCATACTTCATCACAGATATTTTAACTGACATTTAATACAAGAGATTCAAGAAAAGGAATTTTCACTCAAATAAATATCACAAAAGTGAAATAATCTAAATTGTGCATAAATTCAAAATTTCAATTCTTCAATCTAATTGGTTAACAACTTTATTAAATGAAAGTAAACAGATACAATTCCAATTTAATCAATAAAAATTTCATATCATATTAATAAAAACTACTAAAATTATAGGAAGTAAATAACAAACTCAAGGATACTACAAAAAAACTACACATTACATTACAAAATAAATTCTTCAAAACATGCTAACTGATACTCAAATGTAGATTATAATGTAAATGATCAAAAATGCTTTTAAATTCAAGATTTCAATTAATTCTTCAATCTAATTGATTAACAGAATTATTAAATACAAGCAAACACATACAGTTCCAAGATTCTCAGTAAAAATTTCACGTCATATTAACAAAAACTACTAAAATTATAGGAAGTGAATACCAAACTCAAGGACACTGCAGAAAAACTATACATTACAAAATTTATTCAGAGCATGCTAACTGATCCCTGAACTTATATTGCAATTAATAAAATGAAAACTAATCATTTTGAAATTTAAATCATAAATCATAAATTTCAAACTAACCATCTCTTTCTGTTGGGGTCCTGCACTTGGGACAAGGCTTTGTAGTAATTTTTATAATTTTTTTACTATCTTCATCCCACTTGGAGCTAGATGCTCTTTCATCAATAATCGCATAGTTCATCTAAAAATGATACATTTCGCTACAGCATACTGTTTAAGCATTTCAACACAAAAAATTTATATAGAACTTAGCTTAAAATAAACCACTTCACCAAAAAAGAGTATTTCAATGATGTCACTGTGAAAAGTACATGACTTAAGTTGAAGCACAAAGCAAAGTTTGAAGAATAATATTTGGAAGAGCATAGAGATAACTGCACATATTTTAAAATTTTCAAAACTTCCTGGGGAGAGAACTAGATCATGAAAGTTAACACATTTCATAATTGTAAATTAAAAAAAAAAAAAAAAAAACTAGAAGTTTCTGTAACAGAATGGCACTTGATCATTCAAATCTGAACAGCATCAAGATAGTATTTCTAAGCACACAACAAAATGAAGACTATCATTCTACAGTTAATTGAAAGAGAATAAAAATTGCCCCTCTTACAGCTTTTAACCTCAAATTTGTATATTCTAATATAGTGTCTGTTTCATGGGGGGGGAGGGGAATTTTACATAGAAGGTGTATAAAGAAGTGGTAAAAACACAATTATTAATATATGTATGTCATATGCAAATAATAAATATCTCACTTGCACAACTAAAAATAAATGCCTACCAATTCAAATGTTTATAATATTAACAACTGTTTTCAAGTTAAATAGGAGCAAATTAAAATTAAACCATTGTTTAAAGAAATATAGTATGATAAAAGTTTAATGATATTTAACAGCCAGTCTTTCAATAAACACTTTTTTAAAAATAATAAATATGGACAAACATTTTAACAATAAACTTTCATATTATGAATTTGTGTTTTGTCTGACAAATACCAATAAATTTCAAGACAAAGATATTTGATGTTGGAACTTAAATTTACACTTAGAATGCATTCCAAAAATTTGCCACCATATATGATAAAAAAATTTAGAAATATTTTTAAAACCATAGCACCTTATGGTGCCCTTTGGGTGCACCTTGGGCAATATTCTTGAAGATGAGATGGCTGAAACAATGACGAGTTGGACCATTGCTAACAAACTGCTTTCCAGCAGTTCCCATGCATTTCTCACTCCCAAGCAAAAAGAGTCCAAGCATTAAGGGGGGAAAAAATGAAAGCTTTCAAATTCTGTATTATGTTAAAGGGGCCTTTTTTTAATGTTTTGTGCATTACATTTACTGCTTAAATGGCATCTTATTCACACTTAAAACAAAATTCAGTTAAACAGCAATGTCACACAATATTTAAAAGGGCATACCTTTAGAACTTCTGATACACAGCGTCACGGGCTGGAGATAAAAGTGTGAATGTTTGGACTCCCCATACAGAGTTGCCATTCTTCACTTTGAAATCATTGAGTTCATTAATCAAAAATTTCTTAAGTTTTACAAAATATGAAACAGATAATAAAACAAATTCCAATTTTGGGCTTTCAGATGTCCATATTCAAGTGGAGGACTATGTTATTCAAAATTTGATGTCTCTAGGTTGTTTCTTCACAATGCGCAAAACACACATACATTCACGCAGATTCTTCATTATTTAATTTCTTTATATATAATGCAGGGCTCCAATATCTGGTGGCAACAATTTGAAAAGTGAAACGCAATTTAAAGTAAACCAACGCAAAATGCCAAAATGAAATTAACCCCTTCGAGCCGGGTAGCGAAAACGCGGGCTTATCGCGGAGGCCGGGAGTGTCTTCCACTAGCGTCTCTCCAGGGCCGGGGGCTTTTTTGCTACTAAGCCTAAATCCGTGAAATTTCCGAAGTATCAACGCATTGTTTAATAATGCTCTATAGATTATTTAAACGGCTTATGCTTTATAGATATTTTTATATATATACTTTAATTACCTTATTTCTTGTTTAAATGCATATTTTACACCATTTTATTTTAATTACTCACCATTTTATGACTTTTAACATTATACATTTGAAAATTAAATATATTACTTAAAATTCTCTTTTCGTATGAAAAATTTTAAAACAGGGATCTACACACAGTCCTACATTACATTCCTTGAACTCGTAATAACTCATTTGCTGTTTTGGAGGATTTTTCCGGGAATGTGAACAAACGAAGCATCGTCGTCTCATTTTCTTATCAGTCTCTTCTGAACAAAGTTTTGGAAAATGTCTTTCAGTTAATCTTTCAGAATCAATATCAGAATATCAGAATTTCAGAATCAATATCTGAAATATTTTGCATCATTTCTGCTATTTCATGCTCTGTTAAACATTTTCGACGCTTCGGCATTGAAACGGTAAAAACAGAAAGAATTCACGTCTAACAAGATCTAATTATTTTCTAAAAACTGAACTGTAAACCGAAATACTCAACGCTTTAGCGCATATAAAACTTCTACTTACAATAAACAACTACCATGTGCGAATAAAGTGCGATTTAAAGAGACGTCGTAAATCACGCCATTCGGAAACATTTAGTTCCCCGTTTGTTTATATAATCAAAAACACGTGTATGTGAGTCATGCTTCTCTCATTTCGAGTAGAAGGTCTAATGTACATGTATCTGAAACCATATGGACATACAGTGCCATCTTGTGGCAGAAATTATAGTTTGAAAAACATTCCAAGGTACTGGCACAAATACATGACAGTCGGTAGTAAACGCAACAATGCTCTGGCACGCCTGCGTGTCGGCCGGTAGATAAGTGTGTTCGTTGCTGGCACGTATACGTGACAGTCGGCGCGAAGGGGTTAATAGTCCTTCTATGCAAATTGCCCCTTTAGGCTAAAAAATCTGAAAGCTTTAAGATTTTTATATTACGCTCGAACGGGCTTTTTTTAAACGTCTTGTGTGTTACCTTTATTTATTAAACATCACATTCTTCGCACTATAAAATTCAATTCAACAGCAATCTTACAAAATAATATAAAAGGAGCATGCCTTTAGAATTTCCAATACATGTTATGTCACGAATTTAAATTATTAATATGTGTTTCAAGTCATTATTATTCTAATATTTTTGTTTGTATTCATGTGTGTTTTAATCTGAAAAAAAAAAGTATTCTTAAGCTCTTAAGGCTCTATTTAACTCGTTATTCTTGAGTAGGAATTGTAACAAAGGCGGGAGACGGTTGCGAGGACACACATCTGGTTTATTGGTTATAGCCTTTTACTAACAATGGAGGCAGTAGGGTCCTTTTAACTCATGGCGTGTGAAACGGAAATTGTCTTCCTGTCGCTTTGTAAAGTTTGCAGTTTTGCGTACTGCAAGACAGTGGGGGTTAGGTAATTGGATGCTCATAAAGTTAGTTTCGCTTGTTAGTTGGGGGGTCTTTTTTTTTTTTCACGTTATGTGTACAGATGTTTTTCGGATTGCATTGTCAGATTTTCTGGTGTTTGATTCATCATGGGTGTGTCATTTTCTCAATTTAGATAACATAAAATTCCGGCATTGGTAAGATTTAATTTTATGATTTTTTTTTTAAAGCCTATGAACTCACAGAGGCGGAGAAACCGAGATTTCCTGGGTGCTTGCACCAGGGTAGAGATCATTCTGATTCTGATTTTCTAGAAGAGAAAAAAGTGTGGGGCTTGACCCTTCGGGTCTTGCTCCCGTGAACCACTTGAACCAGTGGGCTGCGGTGATGGGGTTAGCGGAGTCTGATTTGAGTGAATTTTGAGCAGCTGCGATGTGAAAGAAAAAAAAAAAGCGAACGTGGGGCGTTTTGCCCTGCTTCCGGCTTTGCCGTGCGGCCGGTTGCCAAGGCAAGAGGACTTGGGTTGCGTTTTTCTTTGCTCTAGAGAATTCTTTTTCTGTGGGATGTTTAAAACTTTTGTTCGAGATGCAAGAAACATTTTCCTGCGTGATGTATGGAGAAATGTGCGCGAGCTGCAAAGAGCGTTTTTACTGACAGCTGATTGAGATGTATAGAGAAAAATCTACCAAGAAAATTTAGCACAGATTTTCTCTCTTCACCTGAATCGCCGGTTAATCTCCAAGAGCCTTTTTCCGAAACATTCAGCATAAATGTTGCCTCGCCGCTTCGATGATGCACGTGATTGTATTGTGCTAAAAAACTGGTGTATATTCGGCTACCTGTTATTGAATTGAAAAAGGATCCTTCTGAATTGGACTATTGGTTCCCACCTAATGGTCAGATAAAGATCCTTCTAAATTGGACTATTGGTTCCTACCTAATGGACAGATAAAGCGATTCCTGGCTGTTTGAAGAAATATTAGACTGTAATTTCCACTTGTGATTCTTAATAATTATTAGACGCTTCAGAAAGGGTTGTCACAGAAAAATGGGCTTGGCTCATTTCCATGTGGATTGGACACTAAGGATCCTGCTAATCAGGAAAAACTGTTTTCCATCTGTGAGTGAAATTTTTAAGTATATTTTCTCTCTCTCTCTTTCTTAATTTTCCCGAATGTGGAACAGTTAATAATGATTTATCTACCTGTATATTGTTATTACTTATATAAATTAAATATTACAGTTAGAAAAATTGAGAAGTTATTTATAATTTCAAGTGAATGCCAGTTTTAGGAGGATTAAATTTGTTACAACACCTACTTAATTTTGAAAAAAAAATAATAAATGTTAATCTTAATTAATGTAAGCTGTAATTTGGTGTAGTATTATGTGTTATTTTGGCTTAGAAAAATATGTGGTAGGATTACTGATCAGTTATCCATTATTTAATTATATAATATATTCAAGAATTTAATAAATGTGTGTTTAAAATTTAATTGTATTTGTGTATTTATGTTGTGTATATTTTACTGTGGTCTGTCATGTCCCTCCATTTGTTTGAGCCGGGAGGCTTTTAAGAAACATGCAAGTTTAATTGAATTTGGGGTTACTGATTATTTCCTTTTGCATAGGTTACTCACAATGCAAACCTAAAGTTAAATTGTACTACCACTATACGATTGATTGATAGATTTACTATACGAATGTTTATAAGAATGTCGAAATGATATATGAGTGATGAATATTATGAATGATGAGTATTTTGATTATGTTTTTTTTTTTTTTTTTTTTTTTTTTGTTAATTTTGTCAGGCACCATGAATTAAAGTTTAAAGTAAAAGTATTAAAAACATAAATTTTTTCAGATATAACATACACAGTCTCGCATGCTGGAGGTAAAGTTTTTTTTTTTTTTTTTTTTTTTTTTTTTTTTTTTTTTCTTTTTTTTTTGCCATACAGTGTTGCCATTGCTCGCTTTGAAATCGTTGAGTTTGTAATCAAAAATTCCTTACAGTTTTACAAAATGTGAAACAGATAATAAAACAAATTACAAATTTGGGCTCCTAGATGCCCACATTTGAGTGGAGGAGTATGTTATTCAAAATTCAATGTCTCTAGGTACCGTTGTTTTTTCATAATGCGAGAAACATATATACATTCAAGTAGAATCTTCATTATTTAATTTCCTTAAATATAACGCAGGGTTCTAATATTTGGCGGCAACAATTTTAAAGCGAAATTCCATTTTATAGTAGACGACGTAAAATGTCAAAATGAAATTAATAGCCCTTCTGGGCAAATTGCCCCTTTGGGCCTTAAAAAAAAAAAAAAAAAAAAAAAAAAAAGAGCTTAAATGTAAATCGGTTAACTTTAAATATTTAGGATACAAAAAGCAGATAATAAAAAAGTGGAAATTTCAATAAAATTATGGTAATTTTACATTATTTTTATTTATACATACAAGGAATACTAAATGTTCAATAATGAAACAAAATTAGTTGTAAAAATACTGAAATACCTCAGCCTGAAATAACTTACTCCATCTGTGATTCCTGAAGGCTCTTGAGCTTCACAAGGTCCAATATGAAATCCTTGCATGCATTGTCTGCAGAACACAAACTATGAAGGAGAAAATTTTTTAACTTATTTTTTTAATTTGCAAGACATATTAAAGTATTTTATACACATGAAAAATTATCATTTCTAAATAAGAGATATTAAAATTGATAGAAATTTTTTTTTAAAGTACAGGAAAAAATTTAAGAAATTTTTAAAAGAATGTAAACTTTAAGAAAACTCTTTAAATTTCCATTCATGTATTTTAATTGGCCACATAACAAATTCATACACTTCAGGGAAGAAACAGTTTATACTATAATTCAAAGAAATAGGATAGTTATGAAAATATAATATACAGGCATTATTTTCTGTCTGCCAGTATTCCCAATACTGAAAGACTAGTGAATCAGACCATAACTAGCGATAAGAAATTTATCCATTATTCTACTTTTTCATAGTATATTTCTGAACAAATGATACGCTTCATATGAAAGAAATTTAAATTTAATGGGCAGAATCTGTCCAACTCTTCACACAATTGGAAAGCAATAACTTATTAACTTAATACAGTCAGAACTTGTGACATACTTCAACCTAAGTAACATTCACAAATTCTCCCATCACTTCATTCATTCATTCTTAGTATCTGAAACAATCTATATGCAACTGAAATCTGAATGCTTTTAAAATTTGATTTTAAAATTTAACAAATAAAAAGCTAAATGAAAATAAAATTAAATATGTATGTTATGATTAAGACACAATAAATTGCCAAATAAATACTAATTCAGAAGTCAAATAACAAAAATCTGCGTTATATCCATCTTTGCATTCAGCCTTTAAAGAAATTATGTTTCAGTTTTGGTTTCATCACCAGATGGCGCCAGTAGCTTATCTCCTGTCCAGGCTTTCTTATCTTATCTAATCATTATATCCTATCTTGTTCATTTGCACTTTTTCAGCTGAGGGTGATGGTTTGGTAAAACCATCGAAACTAGTCCTGTGAAAATTTGAAAATATAACGCTGATTTTTGTTGTTTGACTTCTGAATGTATGTTAGTGTTAAAGTGATAAAAAATGTATAATAATCACATTTAGCGATAAATATTACTAAGTACCAATGAAGTTTTTCAAATGTGATGAATTAAGTGATGTAACTGATTGAAATCCCTAACTTTAATGCAAGGGTTCCAACCCTAGGCCTGCGGGCACCATGGCACCTGCCGATCATTTAACGTGTGCCCACTACTGCGCACCACAATAAAAATGTTTTAGTTTTTTATAAAATTCTATGTGAAATTTTTCTCATTTTTTTATGAAATAGAAATTGCATCCAACCCAGATAACAGCACAAAACGAAATGCGACCGATCTCCTTTTTTATTTGCATGTATTATTAACTCTATCCAACTATAAATTCACCTTGAAAAAGTAAATGGTGCCTGCCATCCAACAGATATTCTAGAATGTGCTCTTAGGGACAAAAAGGTTGGGGACCTCTGCTCTTATGTAATTTTATTTCATGCAATATGAAGTTCATGAAATTACATACATCAATAGTTTTATTAGCTCCGAAATTAGGTCAAAGTAAAAGAAAAAAAATAACAATTTTTACTGTTTACTGTATTTTATAAAATGCTTTCATTATTTACTACTTCAAACAAATTACATTATACACAGACACCTTAAGGCAATAAAAAATTGCAAACACAATATACTAATTACAAAATACATTAAAAAACTATATCATTACATTTGTAACTAACAGCTAATTGCAAGAAAATTCCATTAAAATACAATATTATTGAACTTTTTAACAAATTATTTATTTTGGCAGGAAGAACTTCTACAACATTTGGAGTTACACAGGGTTTTTGAATTTTTTTCATTTGCAGTGATTTGAATTTTAATTGTTTGAAAAGTTGCTATTCTGAAACCCTTGACAACATAATTTTGGCTTCTTATAAGTACTCTTAGGCTGCTATCACATATCCATTTGTTTGGGATAAGAATTTGCCTCATTTTTTTCCCCCCTACCAGCTTTACCACTGTAAGAAAGACCCTTTTTTTTTTTTATTATTTTTTTATTTTTTATTTTTTTTTTTTTATTTTAGAAAAAACTGTAAGTTGTTCGTTTTAAAAAACTAATCAGCTATCAGCATTGAATTCCCTGTTTTTAACTATTATTTACAATGCCCAACTAGTTTCCCCCTTTACATGGTAACCCCAAAGTGATTCATGGAGATTATTTATATCAAGTGAGAAAGCAGAAAAATTTTTTAAAGAGTTATTCTTCCAAAATGTTTTGAATATGTGATATGACCTTTAGACTTATTTCAGTATCTAGTATAACTTCAAAGACTGACATAAAATCTTCCTTACATATAGCATAATCATTCTATGTGTAGAGTTGGTTTAAAATACCATGCTTTGTACCCAGTTTAGAGAAGTTTTCATTCTCCTTAGAAATTATAACAGCTATAATATTCTGGCTATAAACTATACCCCTCTATGTACCTCTGGTATTCTTATCCAAACACATTCTCTTATGTTTGCAGTCGGAAATTTTGGCTTTGAAAATCTTAATTTTTTTTTCCCACTTACGCAAGTCTTCACTCATATCAAAAGTGTTTTAAATGTTTAAAAATTTTTTAATGTAGAAGAATGCTTGAAGTGCATTACAGCCACTCTGCAGAAGTTTCACTTGAATGCGCTAGATGCATTATGGACGACGAAGAGGTTAATAGTTTTATTAGCAAATTCTCAGCCACTGTCACTTTTCAAGATTAATGCTGCTCTAAATAGTATGAAAACATCCAACAGATAATAAAGAACTTATTTGGCTTGTTTTTGTCTTTAACACTCTTAATTCAATAAATTTTGTTAATCTTCATAAACCATTATAAACGCAATAGTCTCTAGTCCCTTGTTATTGCATATCAATGAGATCAAATTGAAACCTCATATTTAATTCACTGATTTGTAGTTGGTTAAACAGTAAGATCTTTTCATGAGAGGCTTTGTTTCTTTTGACAAGGTTCACAAAGACTTAAGCATATCATTATAATTTCAAATGTCATTTTCTTAAATTTTACCTTAACCTCTTTTATCATAATTTATTTCATCCTCAATAGTTAAATGCAATATGAATGTCATGAACTATTTAAAAATTCTCCTTCATAAAAGTATAGTAAATAAACGGGTGTTCTTCATTTTTAATTGGAATAATGAGTTTTTCAACACTAGCAATTCTTACAGTATCATACTTGTTCATCACTGATTACCTTCTGCTGATTTCCTGGCTCCTGTTCTAAATAACTGATAATAGTTTCCTTCCTTTCTTTTTTTGATTTGTGATGTCCAAATGATCATCAAAATATAACTTCAAGATTTTCTAATCGTTATACATCGTGCTTACAAATACATAAAATTTGTGGAAACTTCAATTATGTACATGCTAGCAACTGACAATTAAAATAGCACAAAACTGACACTATGCAGCATTCAGAACAAGTGAAATGCTGAACACAAAGTATATGTGAAAATCCTGAAAAATGTGGGTGCCATATAAATAAACAATCACCTGATTTTATCTAGTTATTGCTAACAGATAAAAACAAACTGGTGCAGTTGCAAAAGCTATCATCCATTCGCATTAGGTGCTGACATGGGAGACATATACATATATACCTTTGTAACTGCAAATCTCAAGCTGTGCACATTCGAAAATTTTTACATTTACCGTTCCTTGTTGTAAACTGTTAATAAAAACTGATTTCTGTGATAAAATCTCACAAATTATTAGTATTGTGGGAACTGTAACTAAGATTATGTAAGAGCGCCATCTAGATTTGGGTGTGGTCAGATGAGGCGTGAACGACAATGAGGACAGACGTGTTCAAAATGTTTTGACAATTATTCTCATTTTGATTGTATAATTGTTTCAAGTAATAAACATGTCTTCAGAAGAAAATTTTGAAAATTTAAAATGAAAGCATAGTACTGAAAGAAGAAGTACTACTAAACTAATTTCAAAAATAGATGTAGCTTTAGCAGATGAAAATGTTACATGTGATATCTTAGACGAACATCTAGAAGTTTTAATAGAAAAAAATTAATAAACTAAAGTGCTTAGACAGTCAAATTGAACATTTCATTGATGCAAACTTAATTGAGGAAAAAGTAAACACCAGTACTGATTACCAAGAAAAATGTCTCAGGTATACTAACAAACTTAAACATTTATTGAAACAGAAAGAAACTTTTAGTAACTCGTTGACATCTGAAAAACTGTTAAGTACTTCAAATGATAGTTTGAATTTACCGTCTTCAGTTAAACTTCGTAAGTTAAAAATTAAATCGTATTCAGGAGACCCAAAATTGTGGAATGAATTCTGGAATTCTTTTGAAATCACTATTGATCGAAATGATTCCCTTTTGAAAATTGAAAAGTTTGCATATTTAAAAACATACTTGACTGGAGGAGCTTTAAGTGTAGTAGTATCTGGTTTTTAATCAACTGATAAAAATTAAGACAACTGTGTAAAGTTAACTTTTAATGTTGCAAAATGTGAAAAATTCTTCAAATGTTCCAGCTTTGAGAAAGTTATATGATGAGCTCGATATCGCTATACGAAATTTAGATTCACTGCAAGAGGATTCAAAATCCTGTGGTCTAGTTTTGATTGCGATTGTTCTAAATTCATTGCCAGAAAATCTTGTTTTAGATTTTAAGCAAAACACAAAACACATATTCAAAATGCGATGAAGTGTCTGGTATGCAAATATAGGAAAATAACGCTTCTCTGACTCCAATGGAACCAATATTTTATTCCTTACGAAGTTATAGATTCTTATTCATAAGATTTATTTACATTTTACATGCACGTAAAATCGCGTGACAGAAACCCGAAGTTTGTTTACTTCGTTCTTCGCGGAGACTAGAAAGGAGTTGCCATTCCGCTTTAACTAAATTTAATTAGAAACTTGACGGAACTGAAGCGACATTACACACCCCCTTCCTAGTGACAGCGATTTCGGAAGATAGTCTTTAAAATGACT